CCAGAATCCTAAACAGTGAGTCTAGAATACTTAATCCTGCTTCTGGAATCCCAAATCCTGCTTCTGGAATACTGAATCCTGCTTATGAAATCTTAAATCTTGCTTCTAGAACCCCAAATCTTGGAATATTAAACCCCAAATCTGGAATCCTAAATCCTGCTTCTAAAATGCTAAATCTTGAGTCTAAAATAAGAAATCCTGCTTCTGGAATATTAACTTTTACTTCTAGAATCCTAAATCCTGCATCTGGAATATAAAATCCTGTTTCTGGAATCCCAAATTCTCCTTCTGGAATATTAAATCTTGTTTCTGGAACCCCAAATCCTGTTTCTGGAACCCTAAATCAGGAGTCTACAGTACTAAATCCTGCCTATGGAATCTTAAATCCTGTTTATAGAACCTTAAATCCCACTTATGGAATCCCAAAGCCTGCTTCTAGAATCCTAAATCAGGTTTCTAGAACCCGAAATCCCACTTCTAGAATCCTAAACCCTGTTTCTAGAACCTTAAATCCTGCACCAGCTCAAGCACTGGTGAAAAACATTTGGACAAAATGATGTGGGCCTCCAGAAGCAGAAATTAGGATGTAGCATTGGATTTTATTGGAAGGTAATTGAATTTTGGAAGAGCAAACAGATAAACTCGTGTTCAACAGCATTTCCAGTGGGGAGGACACAGGATTAATGGAGCATTCTGTTATTCTGATAACATCTACCAGAATAATAGAAAAAAGACAGTGTGAACCACAGGGCTGAAATGATCCTCATTTATGTTAAATGTCACTGAGGGGCACCAGGTGTAGATAAAATAAAATTAGTGAAAACAGAACTATTAAAGCTGATTCTCTAAATGCAACCCACACAGAGGCAGGAGGAATGCAGCTGGCTACAGATGCAAACCTGCATTTTGGGCTCCCAAAATGACCTTCCCACCCCCTCAGCTGCAGCAAAGGGGCACAGGCAGGGACACAAATACTCACATATTTCCAGCCCAGCGTGGTTTTGCAGTTTTCACAGTAAATATCTGCCACGGCGTGCAGGCCTGTTAGCAACACCCGCTCCTCTGCAGGGCCACAGCCCACGTTCACTCTGGGACAAAGCACAGATGCTCCATTAGTGCCCCTCACATCAAAATACTCCAATAAAATCGACAAAGATTTCACTGCAGTGTTTGAAAACATGAGCAGGAGGTTCTGAGTTCCCCAGCTGTGCCCAGACAAAGCTCTCTGGCAGTTCCAGAGCAGAATGAAAAGGTAAAATGGGATTTTTATTCAGCTAAAAAACTCAATGAAAGCTTTGAGCAGGAGATTAATAACACTCTAGTCACTTTGCTAATTAGGCATTTGAGAAAGGTTTTCATTCTCAAATTGATAAAATGGTACTTCTACTTTCCCAAATGGAAAATTGAAGAATGTGAGTGAAATCAGCAGCTCTGCTGAAACCAGACCAGCAGTGACCTCCCCAAAACTATTTCCAGTCACTGGGAAAACGACACTCAGTTTTCATGAAGTGCATATTCAGATATCTATCTCCACATTTACAAACTCTGGTTATGGTCCCACTCCATCCTGGGAGAGGAGATGACTCAGCCATCAGCTCTGATTTCTCAACCCAATGACGAAAAAATTCACCTTTTCCTTGCTGCTTATCTGAAACCCCTGCACCACTCAAATATGAATCAGGGGCTATTTCTGCCTCTTTCTCCAGCCATGTGCAGGAAGCTCCCCACTCCCAGGCAGAGTTTTTCTGAAGGAAATTGGGTTTTTTTCCCTTTTTCAGGAGGGTTTTGTTGGGTACTCACACGGAGTTGAAGAGGTAAGCTCGTCCTTGGCTGCCCTGGAAGGACTGCAAGGCAAGAAAACAAAGCTCAGTTGGCTGCTTGAGAGCAAAGGGGCAAATTTCTCCATCTCCAACAGCTGCCCTTCTCACAGCACACACCTGGGACTCCCACTCATTTCATTCCCTGCTCAGGAAGGAGGGGCCGAGCAGGGGGCACTGCCTGTCCCTGCTGAGGGCTGGGATAACTGGGGAGGGCTCAGGGATGAAGCACAAAATCCCACAGCAACCAGGGCAAAATGCAGGCAGATGAAGCTTTCTCAGCATCCAGTCCTTGCCTGTGTTTTCTCCAAAAACACCAAAAAGTGACTGAGTTTGCCAATAACAGCAACTGTGGGAGCAGAGTTTTTACTGGTACAGAAATAGGATTTTCTCTTCCTGCTGTACAAAGGTCTGTCTTTAATCAACAACAAACCCAGCTCCATCATTGCTGCATTGCCTGCCCTTCCTCCCAGCCCAAACCAGTGCTTGAGGGTATCTAAGGGTGGTCACTGGGAAAAAAAATTCACATTATTTACCCCCTGCCCAAGCAGAGTTTTGAACAAACCACTGCTCAGCTTTCAGTGCTGTCTCAATAATCACCCTCCAGCCAGCACAGCATTTGGCAAAACACATAAAAAGAAGGGTGAGCAGTCTGGTAACCACAAGTTCCCCAGTGCATTTGTGCCCTGCAGGACTGAGCTGGCTGTGCCTTTATAAAGGTGGCACAGGCAGCTTTTATCTGGCTGCTGTAACCTGAGCATCTCCTGGAGATCTTCCTGCTCCTTGGCACACCAGAAAAACTGGCACATGCTGTAACGGGAACTACAAAATCAGAAAAAAAAAACCACCCCAGGTATATTTATACACAAGCAGATGCTCTTGTATTTGTTTTTGTTGCTTTGTTTGTTTTTGTAAGAGCCACACAAAGATTTCCACAACACCCTTGATGTGCACTGAGGTGACAGCCAGCAGCCAGACCTACTTTCTGTGCTCTGCATTTTCCCTGTGCGCATTCAGAGGTGCAGCTCAACCCCCTCCCACTGAAACCCAGACTCTGAAACAGCTCCTGGCATCCCTTTCCTTTCCTTTCCTT